CGAAGTGAATTGGAAAACTATCTAGAAACAAATTTTACGGCATTCATTTTCAATGAGCAAGGTGGTGGTCATGATTTCAATAAGTTTGATATTTTGTCATTTTGGAGATCACAGTCAAGAACTTTTCCTGTGCTCTCTAGAATGGCACGTGATATACTAACCATACCAGTATCCACAGTTGCAAGTGAACAAGTATTTAGTTGCAGTGATAGAGTACTTGATGAACAACATGCACATATGAGTGATGATATTCTAGAGGCAGTAATGTGCGTCAAAGATTGGGAGGACGCTCGCAAAAGAAGCCAACAAGTTCAAGATGATTGGGTTGATGACTTTAAAAATTTGGACATTTTTTATACTCCCACTAGGAGTAATACATTGTAATTACGAACAATATCTATTTTTTTCATGTTTTTTATGTTTTTTTTTTCTTTGTTTTAGTAATTTTGAAAACATCTTATGTATAATTATCCTGATTGTACTATTTTTTTCTTACTAAGATTTTGTCCCACTGGTTTTCCTTAAAAAGGTTTTTAATGAGGCAATCGTAGATAAAATATCCTTTTTCATATTTCTATTTACTATTCACTTTTATATTTGTTAACTTGTTTAAATATTAAAAATTAAAAATTATATGCTTAGATGGGTTGGCCCATCTATACCTATGATGGGCCAAGATGGGCCGGCCTATCTAAACCCATGATGGGTCAATATGGGCCTTGAATGGGCCAGCCCATTCAAGGCCCACGGCACGGTCCATCCTAGCCCACGTAAAGTTGGCTCATGGTGTGGGTTGGGCCGAGATAATTCTTATATGGGCCGGCCCGGCCCGGCCCACGGCCCGCATGGGCCTAAGGATAACGGGCCGGGCCGGCCCATTCTTGCATCTCTAGAATGAAGTAATGTTATAAAAGGTACGAAAATAGTAATGTCAATCAAGTCACGAAAATAGCATATCATGGTTATCATATAGTAGTATAGTGTTAGCGTTTATGCCCTTAGGAATAAATGTAACAATGTTCTTTGAGACATTTTGAATATTAATAAAGATTTATTTATTTCATATATCCATGTATTGTCCTCTTTATGTTAATATTAGTTGAATGTATGATAAGCAAACTGAAAGTCTGAGACTGTCATTTTAAATCGTTAAGTCATGCATGTAATGAGAAGAACATGCAGAACACAGGAATCTAAAGATGATAGTCTAAATTATATGATCCACAATCGAGGGAACAAAATTGGGCGCTTTATTCATGTTAAGATTGTTATATTGTCTACTTCCTAACGGAGATGGCTTGTATTAGTCGTCGGAGGTGGGACTCCATGAGTAGAGACATTGATATAGTTTCTTGTGGTGAAATTTATAATTGGGTCAGACCAAAGTTGAATTATTTTAATTAATAATTCTGTTTGTATAAAACAATTTACTTTTGACGAATTATATATGGTCATCTTAATCCTGAGATGGATAATGAACCCGTAGGCTTGATTTGTATCATTTGATGTACCAAAGGGAGACATCCTGACATCATATAAATGTACGCTTACTGGTACATTAGGGGTATGACTCGTGTATGCGTAGATTTATTATTAATAGATAGTGGAATCCATAGCTCCTATAAAGAGTCAATGATATCCTCTTATGCATTATATGTGGATTGGAAAATACGAGCGCTCGGCCATTAGACTGCTCTGTGTTATCTAATGGTTTACTATTTGTAATGGTACGAATAATGGTTTTCCGATGGAGTAGTAATGGAACATAAGAAAATGTAATCGGGAAGGTAAAACGAAACATGACCTCAAGTTGATTATGGATATCCTATGGGGATGATACACTAATATATTGAGTCATGGACGATAGCTATTTAGAGCTTTGTAAATATGCTATATAAATCGAGAGTGTAGCTCTAGGCTTTTAGTGGAGTAGCGCTAGAGTTTTATAATCATGAGACGGACTTTTTGGTTTACAAGTAGCGTTATGATTATAGGAGCTTGATTTATATATGTTAATCGGGTCCCTTTGCTAGCTCACGCAATTTCCTGTAACGATACGCCATATTTCCTACATATTGGTAACTTATGTTATTTATGTAAAAGAGGTTCAAAATTAATATAAGATCGGTTAATTAATTCATGAGTAATTTATCGGGTGAATTAATTGATGAATTAATTCTAGATAAATTGGTTGAATTAATGTTTCGAGTTGTTTAATTCGTGAGAAATATATCGGGAGGATTAATTGTTAAATTAATTCTAGATAAATTGGTTGAATTATTATTTGGAGAGTTATTTAATATGAGAAGACTATTATATGACTATTTTGATCAGGTAACTTTCTTATTCCCGTGTTGAAAAACTAGGAAAACAAGTTTCCCTAGTTCAGACAGGTCGACTGGTTCATGAAGGACAGGTCGACTGGTGAGTTATAACTTCTCTATCACCGGTCGACCGGTTCTAACGCGTAGCGCATGCTGATGTGGTGAAACCGACTCTGTAAGCGAGATGAACTTTGAGAAACCTGATTGTTACGAATATATGACTTCCTAAACACTATAAATAGCCCAGTAAGTCACATTATTCATTAGATCACTTGAGAGACCTTTTAAGGGCTATTGGCAAAAGACTCCTGAAATGAAAAATTATTTAATTCTCAAGAACGAATTTTCCTTTGGCTCTCTTGTGGTTAGAAGGAGTTCAAGAATACTAAGAGAAGATTGAACGACGTGTGTCCACCTGTACTCTGATCGTGAAAACGAGAATAGCAAAGAAGACCAGTTGGTTGAGGCTCTTTCGATTGCTGTTTGAAACGCTTTGATCTGTCAGATGTGCTGTTTCCAAAATCTCTAAAAGTATGATTTAGATCTTTAGTATTTATGTTATATAGCATCATGAACATGTTCTTGGTTGGCTTTGACATTGATTTAAATTTTTTTAAAATTTTGTTGCGCACTCAATGCCATTTTTTTCAACATATAGTGCCTTTGGCCTAATAACAGTTGCAGAGGAAATTTGAGTGTTAAATTAATAACAAAATATATAGATTAAATTTTTAATAATTAATGATTAACGCGTCAGGTTATATGGTAATGTCCCTGCAACTCCTGAATTAAACTACGTTAATTTTTGTTTTAAAGAGTCTTATAAAGCTTGATGCAACAGTTTGTTTGTTTGTTTTTTTTTTTAGGAAAATATAGGGCTTGTTCTTTTGGAGTTTAACTTGAGTATAATTTTTAAGTTGAATTTGAGTTATAACTTGAGTTGAACTTGTAACTTGAGTTTGTGTTTGGTTGTGTACATTTGAGTTATGGTTTGAGATAAGAATATTTTTGAGTTTGTGTTTGAGTGAGTCAAAACTTGAATTTGTATTTAGATAGTATTTTAATAAAAACTCAATGCTGATGAAAAATTTTAATAGGGTATATGGGTCGGGTTTTATTCGTCTTTTCGTTATCAACGCATAGAAAAAAATCATCTCAATCAGAATTAAAACGAAAAAGTTATAGCATTTTTAATAATAGAAAAAATACTATTTATTAATTTGAGTTCGAGTTTCTAAACTCGAATTGAAAGGGAAACTTGAACTCGAGTTTTAATCCTAAACTCGAGTTTTAATCCTAAACTCGAATTTGAACTCGAATTTAAACTTGAGTTTAAACTTAAAAAAATATGAACGCGAATAAAATTATAATTCAAATTATTTTTTTTAAAATTTTTACAGTAACTATTTGCTTAACCTGATAAGGGAAAATAAACGTGTGAGAGCGTCATCTGATGTGGATTACATGGCGAATTCAATACAACTTTCAATTGATGTGACTTTCAGCGGGAAATATCTGGCATTGTCAGCGCAAAGAATGAAAAAATAAACATTCCT